AAAAAAAAAAAAAAAAAAAAAAAAAAAAAAAAAAAAAAAAAAAAAAAAAAAAAAAAAAAAAAAAAAAAATCACATAAATTTGCCTGCACTGAAAAAAAGGAAGCTGGTGAAGCAGCTTGACACCCTTACAATTAGCATTTTCAGAAGGAGATGAGCAAGTATTTTCACGTTTCCTATAACCAGCAAGAAGAGCTGAAGTCTGTGCGAGGTCCAAATCATGACTTGCTTGCCAAATAAACTGGTACTTGCATAAACAATCTCACTAAAATACATCTGGGCCATTAAATACTCACTAGACCACTGCTCAGAATATAGAAGTCATCACCAGAGAAGATAGTGCCTGGGTAAGATGAGAATGTCTGCACCCATCCCGGTACCACGGGACCCCCTAAGAACACAAAATAGATAACTCATTAAAAAATATTTTTGAATCTGGTTAGTTTACATATAGTTTCATACACATGGCTGCTAACGGAATAGCAACTAGTGTATTAATGCTCCATTCACAGTCTATGAAAAAAGTGGCACAGCAGCCCAGGCGATTGTCACAGCAAGTTTGAAGGAGCAGAACACCACAATAAATACCAGGGAAATTAAAAAAAAAATTTAAAAAAGAAGAAGAAAAGGTCATACGGGCAATGAGTAATTTTTCTATCCCAAGACAAATAAGAGTCACAAGCAACTAAGCCAAATGAAAATAATCAGCCCTCACCACTGGCATTTCCACGAAAGGGAAGTGTATACTTCTTGATAATGCGCAACATGGACTGGTAGGTATTCCAGGTTACATGAGAAACAAGCAGATCCTTATTGCCGGGTAGAAGTTTGACAAGTGCTGAGCAAGACCCAGAACCCAGCTTTCTCTTAGCATCAGACTTATTCAGAGCAGCTTCCAGATCTTCTAGGTCTCCACCAAGTTGGAACAGCCTGTCCAATATTTAAAAAACAAACAAACAAACAAACAAAAAAAACAACACATTTAAGAGGATGTGAGAAATAAAGCATTTTACTTAGTTACTGTGTATGTTTAGGTGTGATTAGGGAGTGTCATGTCAGGAATTCCTAATTGCAGCGGGAGCTATCACATGTTCAAGTTAAAGGATATCTATGAGGTGAGCGATTTGAGTGACAAAGAAGCCGTCACAGGTCGGCTCTATAGATCGGGAAGTGAGCAGAAACATGCCGCCGATCCTCTCACTTTCCAATCGTCTCCCTGCAGGGAGCGGTGACCGTCAGTCACTTCTCCCCGCATGGATTCCCTCATCCCCTCTCCGATCCTCCAGCGCTGAGTGGAGGAACGAATGGGGGAGGGGGCAGGCACAGCTGGCTCTGCCTCTAGATAGGCAGAGCCAGCTGTCACTCAAGCAGCTGAGTGGAGCGACAGTATTGCCGGTATCCGTCCCGGATGCAGACCTCACAGTATATCGAGGGCATTAGTCCACGATATACTAAGCTTTGGTTCACGGGAGGACAAAAGTATATGTACTCCAGTGACCCTAAAGAGAACTATGTGGAAAACACTTACCCCATGGTTCTCATTTAATGATCAGGTGACAGCCACTGCAATTAAGAGCCGGCACATCACATGTAATTGTATGTAATGAACATGCGATTAGGAATCAATCACTCTTCCTGGACGCATTGATCGTGCATTCAGGGAGAGGGATTGATTTCTAACCGCATGTAATTGTTTCACATATGATTACATGAAGTGTGCTGGCAATTAAATGTAGCGGTTGTCACACGGTCATTAACTTGAACGGGTAATAGCTGCCGCTTGTAAACAACACATTAGGGATTCCTGCTGCAAGAAAATGCACCTAAACATACAGGTGTGAATGGGGCCTTAATCTCCAGACTGTACTGACAGAAAGACACATTCTTTGGCAGGTAAAATCATTCTCATATTTATTTTATCTGTGCATTTAGATGCTTGCTTGGAGTTCAACGTTACATTATCAGCATCTTTCCTAAAACCAACCCTCCTCAACTAACCTAGAATAAAATGCCCACACCCCAGCCTCACAGCTGCTTTTTGCTCATGCTGTTTACTGAATCTTTCCTTTACAGCGATGGCTGTGCCTGTGCAGTGAGCACTCACAGACTTGTTTAGAGCCGCACTCAGGCACTGAATTTGTTCACAGTACGGTTGGCTACACCCAAGTCTATAAGGGCTCACTGAACAGGCAAACTTTCACAAGTTTCTAAGTGCCTTGCAGTCACTCTATGGGCCCGCTTCAAAAGCTGCCCTTTCTACAGGGTCATACAACACATGCTTCCAAACTTATAATCAGACTGAACTGTAAAATTATTTCCCAGTGTAGCGGTTTGCCTGGAATTCAAAAATGGCAACATTTTACACACAATATACATTAAAAAAGTTGTCACAAGATGGTAACACCACTCCTACTTACACTGTACCTTACTGTGCTTTCCCCCTTTCCTTCTCTCCCTACCTGGGGGGTTGGACAGGACCCCTTCCCCCTCCTTGCCTTCTCACCCCACCTTCCCCTCTTCCCCTATTCCTCCTCATACCCACACTTCCAGACCGGCTCCCGCCCTTCCCACAACTGCCCCCCCAATGCTATCATTGCCCGCCAGGCAATGATAGCACTTCATATACAAATGATCATCCCCGATATCCAACCCAGATCGGACTAGAAACAACAAACCTTTGGACAGTATGACAGCCAAACCCTCCTTGCTATATGCCTTTTCCAATGTTTAAGGGGTTGCATTAACCCTGCAGAGTTAGTGAGATCTGTTATTCCTTTGGCCCACCCAACTTAAGGATGCAGGTATTCCTTTCCACCTCAATATGTGAATTAATGTGATACCAGTACAATGGAATAGGAACTCCCGTGTTGGGCCCCACTCTACCACTGTTATGGTACCCTCTTTGCTTTATTGCTTTGTAACACAGTTTTGGATATCACATGGCTGTTTTTGATTATCAGTTTAACGCCTCTATACCTGTCATTGTCAAGGCTCTTAACAATAAAAAACAAATTTTACTTGTGAAAAAAAAAAAGTTGTCACAATTCGCACTAATAACAGTTTTGCAATTAAGAACTTACAAGAACCCAAAGGGATTCAGTTTAAAGGTTTTCTCAGGAAAGGAAATTATTTCATTGTAGCTGTCTTCTAGGCCTTTCAGCTGAAGAAGTGCAAGCCGAACCTGCAGAGAATACATAAAGTACCACACACTTATAAAATCCAGCTGTGTAGAAAGACTGTATAATCTTCACAGATACCCTTAAAACATCAACCACAACCACAAATTGTGCAAAATCTACAATATCTTTCTTTAAAGAACTCCTCTGGGGGAGGACCTTACCCTTGCAGCAGGGCTACACCCACACTCAAGGGTTAGGTGCTTGTTTTTGTTTTTTTCTAGGGGGACTCAAAACCGTTTTACTTAACCGATACCGGCCCCCGCGGTGGTCAGCGCTCCCCCCTCCACTCCAGATTTTGGAATCTCCTTCGGCATTCTCACATCTAACATAGGTCAATGGACCTGCAGAAGTCGTGATTACGTCAGAGGTCCTAAAACCACCAGAGTGAAGTGAAGAGGCTGTGGGGACCGGTCTAAAAGTCTGGATGCAGACTACAGGACTGAGGTTTCGGTAAGTAAAACAGTAGCGTCCTCTAGACAAAACAAGCACTTCATCCTTGCAGAGCAGAGGTTAAAAAAAAAAAAAAAAGTTCTTTTTTTTTATGGGAATGAAGTGCATTTCACTGGGTGAGTGTGGCTATGATGTAACCAACTTCACCAAGCAGTGAAGTTACACTTTCTGGGGATGATGAGTAAACCGTTCACACAGCTCTTTGCTGTTTGAACGAGATTCGCAGCACTGTACAGCCACTAGATGGAGCCAAGAAGCATAGTGGCTGCGCAGTGCTATGAAAGTTCTTTGCTGTGCCAACGGTTTAGAAATCAGCCCCTTAGTGTGCAAACAATATCCTTGGTATATCTAAAGCAGACTGAGCAGAGATTGTATAATTAGACATGACCAGCATGCCATTAGACATACACCTTACAATATGTTCTTTCATCCAAATTCCTTGGTTTTAAAAGTAGGTTTTCATTCAAGCCAATATTAGCAAACTATGCAATCAGATAGTAACAACTATTGCCATTTTAAACGCATGTTGAAGTTAAGTGCCTGAATGTGGCGAATTGATGAGTTAATAAGTGATGTCTTTAACAAACACAAGTTATAGCGCTCCACACAGAAATTATGATGATAATTACAAATGTTTACTTTACATATAAAATCAGGCAGTAGAACAGTAAAGATGAGATGCAACTGTCATGCGTCCTTACGTAGAAAGACTTTCTATGTCGTCATGTAAGATGCACACAGAAGCAATCTGCAGGATGCAAACAGGCTGACAGGAGGATAGAAGGCTGGAGTCACGAGAGAGGAAAGGTGGCAGAACCATTGAATGAGACATGTGAGGCTAAGCAATCAACTTTCAAAGTCAGCCAGGTAGCAAAGTGTAGAAGTCACACATTGCCATCAAATCCTTCTGCATGAAGTGTGACATGTTGATTTGGGGGTGGGGGGTTACGTAGGATTGACTTGCCTACCATCTTCAGCCAATTGTTTGTGTAATTCTCCTACCAAGATTACCCCTGCCGATAGATAGATAGATAGATAGATAGATAGATAGATAGATAGATAGATAGATAGATAGATAGATATAATAATGGATAGAGAGACCTCTATATGTTAATAAAAGCAAAAATACAACTGTGGATCTTTTTACAACTATACATCTGAAAAAGGAGTAGTTAGGAGAGACCTAGGATATTTCTTATACCATTAACTTTCTACTCCAGTTCCTACTAAAAATGACCCGAAACAATGCAGATTAATTATTGTAGTAAAGTAAAACACAACTTACATGATGCCAATAATCCTGGTCTTGATTCAGCTCCATTTGTTCCTGCATCCAAGCTAGGTTGGCCGCTAGATAGTCCCTCAGGTGTTCACAGTATGGGGTTTGGTATTTATAAGGACCACAGTAACCAAACATTGTGTTCATCCAGTGCATGTAGATAAGCTGCAGAGGTATGCAAGCAAGTCGTATAAGAACGGCTTCTGTTACAAGAAGGTATTCATTTTTCTCACTGGCTATTGTGCACAAGTTGAAATAGTTTATCCAAGGGCTAAATAAGCAGACCCTAGATCAGGGGTGGGCAACTCCGACCCTCCAGCTGTGCTGTAACTGGAAATCCCAACATGCCTCTGCGTGTCATGTCTGTAACAGTCAGTCTTGTAATGCCTCATGGGACTTGTACTGTAGTTCCACAACAGCTGGAGGGCCAGAGTTACCCACTCCTGGGCTGGTTCAACTGAATCTTTATGAGCAGTCCATTCATTGCAAGTAAAACTGTAGTACCTGAAGTGTAGCTATAACATATGTCCATACTTTACAATTCTGCAAAACCTCCCCTTCCCCCACCATAAACAGTGGACATCTTATATGAAAGAGCAAGTAGCAAGACCTGGACTTTCAAATCACATAATAGTTGCGGATGTATCACATTAAGTAATTCACTACATTTTAGAGGGAACCAGACTAAACTTCCTTGTTAAAGTGCAAATACATTGTGCAAGTACCAGTGTTATTCCTTTAATGGATCCCTATGGTGTCCTCTGCATCCTATATATAGGCTGTACACAGGACATTGGTTTCTCCCTAAAGCTGGGTATACTTGGTTTTATTTTTTTAATTCAACCTGCAGACTAAATGAAAAAAATAGAATAGATTCCTCCATCTACACTGAACAGCATGGATGGACGAATCCCCCACTGTTTGCATTGTAATCAGACAGCAGCCACTTGCAGAACACCCAGATGCAGCTTGCATGATTGGCTGCAAGCTCTGTTTGGCTGAAGATTGTCTGACCTGCTCCTTCAAATCAGATGATTGAGAGATGCAGGACGGAAGTGTGCCGACATTGGCACACACAAAGCGAATTAGGAACTGGCCAAAATTCTTATCATGAATACCCTACTTTAGCACTGCTAAAGTCCCACCCCTCATGGCACCAAGCCCCACCCTTGTGTCATTTAAAATGTCAAATGCTAGAGCCTTAGGCATTTTACAGTTAAAGTGTGTATGTCAGGCTTAAAAAAAACAAACATATTCATATCCATTTAAAGCCCCTGCAAGCACAGGGAAATATCTCTTGACCTACTAGAAATGCACTCAGCTCCTAAGTCCTGTACCAAAAAGGTACCTGTAATATTGCTTTATAACTCTATGATATTGATTTAGAAGAAACCACTATTAGAATACCTTAGCTTTCTAGTGTTTATTTGTAGTCATGTGACTGCTAACCCTCTGTCCTGGTACCTTACCTGGTAAGCAGTAGGCGGATTTTTCCCTAAGGACAGATATCCTAAAAGCCAAAGTGAGGGAGGAGCTGTATGTGCACATTCAGACCAAGCAATGGCGGGGCCCAACCTAACAATTACAGCACACGAGCACTGGAGGGAGCCTCCAACGTGCCCAGTGGTTTTACATACTCAATGGAGCAGCAACACAGCTTGTGGATGCTGACAACGCTTGGGGGGGAATGGTGTATTTGGTGTGAACAGGGCCTTACACTGCAGCAACAATCTGATAATAAGCCCATCAAAATCTTTGGACATCTTTGGAGAGTAGTGGGAGAGGTAAGCTTACTTTAAAAGTTGGCTATCCACAGGGCCAGGGTAATTACATAACACAAACATGGAGGATGGACACAGAGTGTAATTATCATAGCTATGGACCTTGGGAATCTTTGTCTACCAGACATCTTGGTAAGTGTAGTTCTAGCATGGCTCTGAATGACTGGCATTCACTTCAGGATAGCAGAATATCTTTTCAATCTATAAGTGGCCAATTTGTCTGATCGTAGCCATGGAACTAAAACATCCAGATGGCTAAACTGGATGGAAAGCCCAGTGCGTGGTTTGAAAATTGCAGCCTTACTCTTAGGGCCACATATCAAAAACGCATGATGATCTGCTTGCTGCTCATAATTCAGTTTTCAGAGAAAAGGAGAGAGAATATAATAATAATAATAAAAATAATAATAATAAACCCTCATCTGAGCTGTACATTTCCATGTTTAAGCCAACAGTGACTTATAAAAGCCTGTTTGTGATAAAACACTGGTGGAATGTATACACGTCAGCAAGTTATACATACACTTACCCGCTGAGAAACAGCAGCTTCAGCCACCCCCGCAGCATATGCCTGAATGCTGTCATTATATTTTTCATTGCTCTGCACCTCTAAAATGGCCCACCTGAAATATACAGTACATCAATATCACAAGAGCAACCTTAGCAAGTGAGGAACAACATCTTCTCCCATTTTACGCAGCACTTCCTATTCGATAGAAAAAGAAAATGGCTACTTCATAAAAACCCTTATGTTTATGAGAACTTTAAACACTTGTCTTTGTATTCTACAATAAAAGCCCGGGGCAGCCATGAATCTGCATTACCTCTTAGCAGTTGCGGTTATAGAGATGTACAAACAACTTAAAGGTTGCCATAGCCAAAAGGACACTGGCACAAGAGAACCCAGCTCTACTCTACAATAGTAGTCAACATTCTAAAATTATTTCCATGACATGCATGACTTGCCTAAGCAGTGCATTGGTCTGCCATTTATAATACTATACTCCTGCATCAGATAAATATATTAGACCATTCAACTGGACATGAATCAACTCAGAAGAGGGCTGGCATAGGATCACTGAGCAAAGAGTCTTTGGGGGGGTACAGTCATAGTGGAGGCAAGTATAGCAGAAAGAGCTCCTTTTTTACTTTAACTGGTGCAGGACAATATGTTTTTTTCCGAAAGCTGGGCTCTATAAGTGTTGCCTCTCCAATCTCCATTTCAGAGGCACTTCCTCTAGTTACCCAATACTACTTACGTCAAATTATGCAGATGTTAAATTTTACTCAATGTGTTTGGCAAATGCTAGGTGACTCGTGACTGTCTAGGGAGAAGTAGGAGGGCTGCCATTGCTGGTGTCCTTCTAAAAATGCTTCCTGGCAGTGTCTGACTTAAAGCAAAAGTAAACCGCTTTGTAAATTATTTTGCAAGTATGCACAGCTTACCTTACAAGGGTGCCCTTCTCTAAAGCTGGACATGCACCTTACAACCATCACACGACTTTCGTTGTGCAATGGTTGTAAGGTCATTAAAATTTCGTACGACCTGCCCATCTTGGACAGGCAGATCGTACTTGTGATCATTGCAATGCTGAGTGGGCAGTGTGCGCTTGAGCATACTGGCCCGTGCAGCTTTCGTCTTCCAAGCACGCTACCAGCCAGCCGTATCGGCGGGTTTTCCAGCGTGTTAGGAAGACGAAAGTCGTGCGACCGTACAGTAGATGCGGTCGCACGCTGCCCATACACCTGCCAATTATCGTACGATCGCGGGCTCAGCCACGATTATCGTACGATAATCGGGAGGTGTATGTGCACCTTTACACTGTGAGATCGATCTCAGGTCCTCAGCTCTGTCTCTTGCCATCTCCACCAAGAACACTTCTAGATTTTCAGAGGTCCTCTTCAGCCATTCAGCCTGTGTATGCATGCAAGAGTTACATCCTCCACGGCACCTGGCCCAATCACGGCATCTTACAGATGCGGTGAATTGCCTGAGTGTATACACTGCATGGTGCGTGCGGCATACAGTGTACAATAGAAAATTTAAAATCACTAGTGGAATAGAGAAAACAGTTATGGGGCAGAAGAGACTTAGCATGTTTCTTCTGCCCAAAATCCTGACCTGCCAGCAAGTTTCTATTTTCCTGACTTTACTTCTACTTTAACCCCTTCGTGACGGGAGACGTACAGTGTACGTCCCGTCACAAAGTGGCTATATGACTGGCCACATACACTGTACGTGCCGAGTTATATTAGCCTCTGTAATGCTGGTAACTGCTGATTCTCAGCAGTTCCAGTAATTGAGGCATTCATTAATTAAATAGTTAAGCTTTTGTAAAAGCTTCTTTCTTTCATTAATGAAAGAATGAAGCCTTTACATTCAGATATGGGTTCGCTAAATAGCGATCCCGTATCTGACAGCTGAAGATAGCAGAGAGGTAGCAGTGACTCACCTCTCTGCTATTCGTTTTGACAGCTGTATAGCCTGGCCCGATGTTAAATTATACATTTCAAGCACTAGATACAAATGTATCTCTTGAGTGAAATGTATCAGTTTTGATCGTCTAGGAACGATCAAAGACCTAGTGAGGTCTGATTCTGACAAGCTGTCAGGATCAGTCTCTAAAGTTATGATTAGCTGTTCCTAAGTTTGGAGCAGCCTGATAATAACTAAAAATTAAAAAAAAGACTATTGAATCACAAACCCAGAATAAGTAAATGAGCATCAGATCACATTATTTTTATACTGGTTTAAGGTCAGTGACTCACAGAGCATTAAAGCCAACGCATCAATATGACAGCCAGGGAATTAGTCTTCCCAAAGGAAAATTCAGCAATGGCAGCTCCCATGATCCTCTCATGACAGCGTCCCTTTAAATCACTACGCCGATATCCCCATGTGCTTTTGGGCCCCATAGAAGTTGAATAGTAGTTATTTGGATCATTTGATTTACACAACTTCCCTACCACTGCAAACTTGTGTGCATAACTTTTCACAACAACCCCCCCCAGTCAATACTTTGTAGAGCCACCTTTTGCAGCAACTACAGCTGCAGGTCCCTATAGGCTTGGTACATCTAGCTACTGGGAGTTCTGCCCCCTCTCCGAGGCAAAACTGCTCCAGCTCCTTCAGGTTGGATGGGTTACGCTGGTGTACAGCAATCTTTACGTCATGCCACAGATTCTCGGTTTCCCAGTACTGAGGCATTCATTAATGAAATAATTAAGCTTTTTGTAAAAGCTTCTTCCTTTCATTAATGAAAGAATGAAGCCGTTACATGCAAATACAGGACCGCAATTTGCGATCCCCTATTTGACAGCTGAAAATAGCAGAGAGGTAGCAGAGTGACTCACCTCTCTGCTATTTGTTTTGACAGCTCGAGAGCCCGATGTTTAGATACATTTCACTAAAAAGATACAATGTACTATATTTTTCCATGTATAAGACTATACTTTTTCATAAAAATATTTACCTAAAAAGGGAGGGGCGTCTTATACACGGGGGCCGAGAGGAGAACCGCGGTTGCGAAACTGCTGATACCTCTGCAAACTAGCCTCACGAGTGAAACTTCCGATTGCAAAGACAAGCTAACAGGTTTCCTCCAATCATGAGCCTTATGTACCCGACTTCAGCTGATGCTGCGGAGAGCCTGTAGCCAGTGCCCAGATGCAACAGGGAGCGGTAATGTCGGAGCATTCTGAGCCCATAAAATGTCAGAAAAGAAAAAAAAATCCCGGTAAATACCAATACCAGGAAGCAGCTGTCTTACTCTGCAAAATTTAAACTGGATGTAATCAGTTATGCAAAAGAGCATGGAAAATATTGATTTCTGAATTTTGGGTAAGAAAAGTGGGGGGCGTCTTATAGACGGAAAAATACGGTATATCTTTTGAGTGAAATGTATCAGTTCTGATCGTCTAGGCACGATCAAAGAGCTTTTAGTGAGATCTGAATCTGACTAAAGTCAGGATCAGTCTCTAAGGTTTAGCTGTTCCTAAGTTTGGAGCAGCCTAATAGCCAAAAATTTAAAAAAAAAGTTAATTTATCAAGCAGTCATAGTGACTGCTTGATATAAACTGACAAGAAAAAAAAAAGTTTTTTTTTTTTTTTACAAAGTAAAAAAAATTAAAGTGTAAAACAAAATTAGGAAAATAAAAATTATATATAAATATATGTTTATACTATAATTAATATAACAAATTCTAAAAAAATAATAATCAAAACCTGTGAAAAAAAGTGTTTTCTTCTGGTTTTTTTCCTCATTTTTTTTATTTTATTCAAACTAAGTGAGGGGTTAGGTACACATATGTGATATAATTATATAGCCCTATCTGTCCTCTAAAAAAACTATATATAATATGTGTGGGTACATTTAGTAAGAAAGTATATTACTGCTGTGGAAGAATCACACAGCAAAAATGTAAAAAGTGTGTCAGTCATTTATGAACAGAACCTGAAAACTAGCTCAGTCATGAAGAGGTTAAACGGGCACGCTGCCAATGACGTACTATGTACATCACTGGTTGCAAGGGGGTTAATGCCCTCCTTGTCTGAGTTTTTGTGGGGGTGGCCCTCTTCTTGGCAGGTTTGTTGTGGTGCTCTATTCTTTCGATATTTTATTAATGGATTCAATGGTGCTCCGTGGGATCTTTAAGTTTCGGATATATTTTTATAACTCAACCCTGATCTGTACTTCTCCACAACTTTGTCCCTGACCTGTTTGGAGAGCTCCTTGGTCTTCATTGTGCCGCTTGCTTGGTGGTGTCCCTTGCTCAGTGGTATTGCATACTCTGGGGCCCATCAGACCAGGTGTGTGTTTCTTACACACACACACACACACACACACACACACACACATCATCTGGACACAGATTGCACACGGGTGGTCTTTATTTAACTAATGATGTGACTTCTGAAGGTATTTGGTTGCACCAGATCTTATATAGGGGCTTCATAGCAAAGGGAGTGGATACATACGCACACACCACTTTTCTGTTATAATCTTTTATAACTATTTAAAACAAGTTATTTTCTTAATTTCACTAACATTTTGGACTTTTTTGTCTATGTCCATCACATGTAATCCAAATAAAAATGCACTTTAATTCCAGGTGGTAATACAACAAAATAGGAAAAATGCCAAGTGGGGGTGAGTACTTTTGCAAGCTACTGTACGAGAGCCCCATCTCCTCCTGGCATCCCCTCAACTGTCATACCCCCATATCCTCCTGCATCTCTCACCCGTTATCCTGGATCGTGTCCGTCAATTTAGCCCAGGCCACGGCGTCATCCCTCCTTCCCGGCACGGTGCTGAGGTTTCCTGTGTGCGGGTTCAGGATGACCGACACCTCCGAGCTCTGTGCCCTTACCACCGAGGGCACCAAGATCACCAGCAGTACCCAGCAAGCAGCCATCTCTCGCTCTCTCGTCATGTGATGCCAGGTAGCAATCACGTGCAGTCAGCAGTCAGCTGACACCTGTAAGGGCGGAGCCTTGTATTAACCTTTTAGGGCTATGTGGATAAACAGTGTGAGGCGATTCTGGCTGTCGCTGTTACAACTATAACAAACACCGACTAACTGATATGAGCACCACAAGCGCCTATTATTAACCAGGCTACATTTTGTCACTGAAGCGTCGCCTCTTTTATTTAGGGGTAAGACTTTGGTAAAATGCGGTCTCTTTAAGCGAGACCCCGCCCATTTCCTTCAGATTCGTGCAGTGGGCGGAGCCTGTTGCTCCGTGTTGTGCGCTCGGGTCAGCTGATCGCTGGGTGTAGTGAACTGTAGTTGGTTGATTACTTCTCAGCAATGCTGACGGAGGTGCTTGTGTAGAGAGGAGTAGCACACCGGCCACATCGTGCAGGTAATGAACGGACAGACAGACAGAGTGACGTACAGCCTTCTATCTGTATGTGTACATTGTGCTAGTGTGTGATCACATGGGTTCCTATTACCAGGGGGAGGGTGCACAGACCACTGTTGTAAAGTACCACCTGTGGGACCAGGGGGGGGGAGAGTCCTGTTTGTTTACCATTTTTATGTTGGAGACCATGCACCCCTTTCATCCTCCCATCCATGATGAGGTATGGAGGCTTCATGGGACTCCCACAGCACTCTGCTCAGGCTGATACTATGAAATCAGGGGTTGATCTGCAATCATAATGTGCAGTTCACCTTGTTTCTAGGTTTCACTTTGCATAATAACCTTCAGCTAACATATAAAAGTTGTCTTGGCCATTTTATTTTGTAATGTAGTAGCCCCCATTCACACCCTAGCCTTTTGTTGCTTGTTTCCCGACGCAGGGGTAGGCAACCTCGGCCCCCCAGCTGTTGTGAAACTACAAATCCCATGAGGCACTCCAGTACTGACAGTCTCAGGTATGATTGCCAGAGCCAGTGGCGTGATGGGATCTGTAATTTTACCACATCTGGAGTGCTGAGGTTGCCACCCCTGCTTTGCATATTGCCATTCTTTTCAATGGTACCTGTACACACCTGGGCTTTTTGTCACTCGACAGACGTCTCCTCCTCCTTCTAGTAACTAGTTTCCCAATGGCTAAAACAAAGATGCTCAATCCTAATCACACCTGGAAAAATGTGTGAATGGGCGTCCTACACTGCTCCAATATAAGCCTGCTGACTTCAAGCAGTGTGTGACCTCGTTGGCACCCCTCTGTTCAACAAAAGGCATCTTTTCAATCAACCTTTGTTGAAGGAGCCAGTCTGAAAAGTCTCAATCAACCAATCAGCAGAAGTCACTGTTCAGGTATTCTGATGGCAATGATACTGGAGAACTAAATAGATCAGCAGTTAATGACCAATTGATTTTGCACTCAAAAGCTGACTGTATGGCTAAAAATGTCTGTGTGTATAATATTAAACATTTACTCAGCCGCTGTTTTGGATTCACTATCTGCAGTGTCCGATAACATGGGAGTGCTTGCTGCTCTGGATTCAGACCTGTTTCCTGAGTCAGCAGTTTAACAAGAAGGTCACGAGTAGAAGATAGAAGGCAAGAAAAATGCTTGTTCATACCAGACATCAACTGATTTCCTCACTTTCTGTGCTGCAAAGTCATCTGATCTGCCCAGTTTACTTCTGCGGACTACAGAACACCTCCCATGATATTGAGATGAGTCCTAGCACACTTCTGTCCAAGGGTGACAACATTGCTGCTGTAAAGATTCAGTGCAGTGAGTAAAGTTGGGTATACACGCTTCTATTTTCTTCGTTCAACCTGTGGACTGAACTAAGAAAATAGAACAGATTCTTCCATCAACGCTTATGAGCGTTGATCATGAAATCTCCCACTGTTTCCAGTCACTGTCAGAATACCTGAACAGATCCGACAGCTCATTGGCTGCCAGCTCTATTCGGCCGTCAATTTTCCAAAATGCTCCTTCAGGCCCGGTGCACACCTGGGCGACACCTCACCACGCGGCAATCATGCATGATTCCGTGCGGATCGCTGCGCGATCAGGAGTAGCCAAGGTATGAACTGATCATGATGTGGGTGCCATTATTTTCTAATGGCAACTCAGTTGCGCAGGGCGGATCGTGCGGTTTTCCGCCCGCGCTTCCGAACACAGCTAAAACAGCCGCACGTCGTGTTTCACAAAAAACATGTACCTTTTTTCTGCGATTGCCGCGCGGATGTCACCCCATTGAAATCAATGGGTTTGCGCAGCAATCGCTGCCTGCATTGTGCAGGACCGCGCGTTCCCGGAGGTCTGCACCGGGCCTCAATCAGCTGATTGTGGGATGCTGGTCGAAAAGGTGCTGACAGCGGCACCCACGAATCAAATTTCGGTCGGTTCATCAAGAACCAGCTGAAATTTGAAGCATGCACACACGGCTTAAGTGTTGTCACCCTATGACAGGATCACCAAGTGAGAATAAAAAGGAAAACAAATGCAGCCACCACATTGAATGACCAGTAAGCTACAGTATTGGCTTGTTTTTCTTGGCTTTAGATACACTTTATACTTTTTACTCCGACTCCAATAAACACTGAACATATATTGTAACTTTCATCTGTCACACTATCTATGGTAAACATGACATTTATTACAGTTTATCCCTTTCATCAATGCTCCCCATGTACCTACTGTGTGGACCACAATAGCAGTTAGAGTACCTTCCATTATATTTTACATAACACTGTAAGTAGATTTGGTTCATATAGGATTTATTATTGGATACATTTCCAAATAGTTGTAATGAATCTAGCGAGCAGCCCCCCCCCCCTCCCCAGTGTACATTCACCACAGGCTGAGGATCCATTTTGTTGGTTACTTTGATATAACTTTTAAAAGCATCTTCACTTTTACATCGTGTAACACAGATGTATATAGTAAGACCTCGAGGTGCAACTAAATGGAATTTTCAGACCGAAACAGAAAATACTACATATTAGCCCCTGTATGATAGTAATAAAGTTAAGTAAAAAAAAAAAAATTATGTGTGCTGAGTGCTGCCCCCATTCCGCTGTGTGCCCCATATTGTGGTAGCCGGGCAGCAGCGCTCCCTAAAGGTGCCCATACACCTAACGATTATCTCGAGATTTTAGTTTGCGATCGCGTTTCCGTATGACAATCGCACAGTTGATGGGTAGTGCACAACCGCATTTACTGTACAACCGTTCTACTTTTGTCTTTCCAGCAGGCTAGAAAACTTCTGTCAAATCGTACGACATTCGATGGATTAGTGGCGTTTTCGTACGGAAAAAATCGCACCAAGAACACTGCTCATGCGCAAACGAAAATCCGTTCTGTCAATTGACGACATTCAGGCCAGGTGATATTGGTAATGAACGCTAATTGAAATCCTCAATGGTCTGTGCATGATGGGGCAGTTGTACGAAAATGGTACGACGGTAGTGCGATGGTTGTAAGGTTCTTCTCTATGGGACTACGCAGCCGTATGCCCCCCTACGCTTACCCGCCCTGCACGTCCGTGCGGATGCAGGTGAGCGTACTCATACGCTGACAGGATGGATCCTGTCTGCCTCCGAGCCAGGAAACACACCCCTACGGACCTGCACTTGAGGTGAGCATAGGGGGGCGTACGACCGCGTAGTCCCATAGAGAAGGACGAGGGCTGCGTACTAATCACACACAGCACCTGTCCTTCTTTCACTTTCAGGAATAGATACATAATGTATCTATTCCTGAAAGAAGAATGTTTCCGTTTTCTAATCGTTGTTGGAACATTCAGAAAACCTTTAGTGACAGCTGAATCCTGAACTGCTGCAGGATCAGTGTCACTAACTTATTATTGGCTGTTCTGAAGTTTGAAACAGCCTACTAATAACCAAAAATGTATTAATTTATCAATCAGTAATAGTGAGATTAATTCACAATGACTGCTTGATATAATTAAATAAATTAAATAACATTTTTAAAAGTTTTAAAAAATAGTGAAAAGTGTAAAAAAAATAAAAATAGTGAAAAGTGTAAAGAAAAAGAAAGTGTAAAAAAATAAAGGACAAATAAATTAATGTATTTATTGCATTTTTTTTTAGCTGTGCTGGTTTTGTAAAAAATACTACAAATCAAAACTGTTTTTTTTTTAAGTTTTTTCCTCTTTTTTTTATATATTATATTTGTCCTAAGTGAGGCGTTAGACACACATATGTGATATAAATATGTAGCCCTATCTGTCCTCTAAAAAACAATATATAATATGTGTGGGTGCACTTTGTAAGAAAGTATATTACTGACGTGGAAGAATCACACAGCAAAGATGTCAAAAGTGTGTCAGTCATTTACGAACAGAAACTAAAAACCAGCTCAGTCATGAAGGTGTTAATCCTTGGACAAGTAGTTAGTTTAAAAATGTCCTAACCCCTGATTGGGGCCTTTTTAAGAAATAATGGCACTGTATTGCACCATTGTCACGTGATCTCGTGCAATGTGGGAATGCACAGGTGTTTCATAGAAATGAACAGGGCCTACCCTTGTAGAGCTGCTCACACTGCATAAGAGACAGAAACGAGGCTGTATGACAGGAATAGGTCTTGCAACCACCGGGCATAACTTTAAACAACTGGATATTATGTTTGGAGAAAAATGCATTTGGTTGGGAGAGATGTAACCCTGAAATTATCTGCAGAACAGTTTGCAGAATGTTTCTTTTCTTGTCATAGTGACCTCCTTGTCACATAGTTGGTGTATGTGTAGCCAAGGCTGTGGTGAACCCAAATTCTACTTGCTGACAACACTGCATTTTTGGCACACATGATTCAGCATTTTTATCAGTCACACATCAGAGTCACCTGATGAATCTGGATTGGCTGTGGATTGCTCTCAGAGTAGCCGATCCTTAGAGCAATACAATGTTTCCACATTTACAAAGTGATTTTTTTTTTTTGGTGCTTCTGGAAATTTGTGGCTGAAACTATCAAGAGCATCCATGGCTTAGGTCAGGGGTTGCCAACTACCACTACATCTGTCGTTGAACTACAAGTCCCATGAGGCATTGCAAGACTGACAGCCAAAGGCGCATGATGAGGTTTCTTGTTTTTCCACAACTGGATTGCCAAGGTTGCCTACCCCTGGCTTCAGTGTTTCAAAGGAGGTTGAGAGGCGTCGGAAACCCGCACATTGTTTAAAAAAGAAAATGAAACGTCTTCTAGTTTCTCTGTCTCCGATAACGTATTCTGGTGTTACTTTTCACCTGAACAACTGCATGATGCGAGGGATGGAGATTGTACACGAGCATATAATCTATGGCAGCATAATGTGTAAAATGCCCCGTCCGCCAGCCTGTGGCTAAGCATGCTCAGAGGAAGTGTACTTTTGCACCAAATTTGGGTTAATGCCTGTTTTATAACTGTTACATTTTCTCATTTAACATAGCAAAAAATAAAGCTGCCTTCCTTTTATTTACTAAATAATCCTACAAAATTCTTACTTAAGCTAGCCACACACTGTTAAAAATTTCACAGAAACCGGCGACATTTTTCCATGGCTTTGCCAGCTCAGCAAAAGTTGATTAGTCAATCGACGTTTGTCAAAGAAGCCAGTCCAAAAATTGTCAGCCAGTCAAGATACTGTTTGGGTATTCCAACAGTGGCAGTCACTGACCTACAGAATACAATAGCCCGAATACGGAAAGTTTGACTGCTAAAGGGGTAATAAACTATATGCATGCCTAAAATTCCTCTATGTGGTCAAACAGGAAATCGTTCTGGTTGTTTGTTAGTTGCGTATGTCACGTAAAGCAGTACATTTTGTACATAGTCATTGGAATGAAGGAAAGTACATGTCTATGTAGAGTAAAAGCCAGTCACTGAATAAGGGCGCATTCACACTTCCCTGTTTATAGACACATGCAATCTGCATTGAAATTAAGGGAAACACATGAAAACATGGGTCACTGTGTGTTGCAAAACATTTTCATGAATTTCTGAATCAGTGGTAGTTTAATATGGGCTCCAGTATGCCAAAAAAAATGTCAAGTGGGTGAGGTGCAGCAGACTGCCACTTGCCTAATCATCTTGTACATGTCTTTCCTATGTATATTTTCAGTTGGGAAAACTAAAAGGAAGTTAATATTTCATAACATGCACGATATACTGATTTACTGTATATGCTTTGAAATATAAGGAACTGTGCAACCACAAAATCTGGACCACAGAGGTCAGCACAGTAGAGGCCTTGGAGGAGATGTACTCGAAACCCTTGTGCTAAACAGAAACTCTCCTAAAGGCTGACAGTTGTAGGCTACTAATTGTTCCCAACACAACTGCATTTTGACATTGAAAATCCTTTCTAACTCACTGCTGTTATTGTTCTTCACAGGTTACACTATACATTGCTTAATAAGTTCTCGCTTTGTCAGACATTTCCAAGCATCTGTCAGTCGTGAGTATGCTTATTATTTACTGTCGTTTAGGTTTTTTTAATATGATTTTTATTAAAGTTTCCAGTATGCAGATCTAAAACTTTATATACAACAATAGCACCAACAAGGCAGTAAACAAAAAGGGGAAGGAAACTAAAGCACACCTGTGACAATACATATTCAACATCAATGTAAGGTTTTGAAATTTAGCTACCATATGCAACAGAAACATACAATATGGAACATTATACCAGTACAGGGTACTTGGTAGTGAAGGCACGTGTGTGTGTGTGTGTATCTGTAATAGAAGACAATAGTGCAGTGAGAATCAACCATAAGGCCTCATTCACACTGGTAAGAGCCGGACCGTACAGATCCATGCGGCGCGCACGGCCGTATCAGGCCGCTCCCAGGAAGGACGGGTGCTGCGTGTGATTGTATGCAGCAGCCACTTCTTCTCGCGGCTGTACGTTCACCCGAGTTGCACATCCGTGCGGGTGTGGGTGTCCGTACTCGTACGCAGACAGGATGGATCCGATCTGCGTCCGAGCACGAACACCCGCACGGATGTGCAGTTCAAGCCAAAGAACTTGCTAATAACTTACATAATTTGGTGGCAAAAGTAAAAAATGGGGTTATACAACCAAACCGTGTGGAAGAAATTGGCTAAATCATGGCAACCCTTAAAACAGGATTGCTGAGTACGCAGTCCAAGCGTATATAACTTTGTGGGAGTATAGTAAATTTGATAAAACAATTTTTTGCAGCCAAATTGGGATAACCCCTATTTTATATTTGTTACATGTTTCCCATTCACATAGCATTAGCTAAAACAAAAAAAACAAAAAATGCTTCTTGCAGTTTAAATTACTTTTACTTGGATTAGGGTTTTAAGGGTTAAAACCTCTTCTTCTTTTTTATGAAATGTTAGGAGGGGCTGTAAGGGGTCTTTACCATTTAGAGGTGGCTTGTCAGTTGTTAATTAAGCTTACCAGATAAACACAATCCTCGAATTTGAGTCCCAAGACTTTCCATTGGGACAGACCACTGTGAAAGGGCTTAGAAAAACCTGGAATCCGCCATCTTGCCTGATTTACCAAAACATCTAGAAGGTCAGAAATTTTTATTGTTTTCGGTATTCGTGAATGGGAACGCATAACAAACATATGGAGGTTTTTTTTTTTTTTAATTTGACTACAAAAGTGGAAATGCACTTTAAGCTAACTAGCTCTGCCTTTTAGCCAAAATAAGAGTGGACATAGATGTTTCCTCAAACTTTCGCCAACTATTCTCCGTTAAAGATAGTATAAGGGGAACCAACGCTGCTGGGCACACGCAAACTTGGAGGTCTTATTGCTCAATACAGACAAATAAAAGTAAGAGATTAGCTTAAGTGGGCCAGACCTCAACAGTACTTTCTCTAAGGTTGTAGGAGCGAGAGCCACATCAAATAACCATAACTGCATTTTAGTTGCACATTGAAGTTGTATATAATAAACTTATTCTACTGAATTAGATACATGGTCCCCAAATAGTTGAGACATAGACTTAAAAATAGGGATGCAACGAATTTTGGGCCTCCGAAACATATCGGCACAAAATGCCATTTTTTTGGGGCCTAAATTGTGGCGCATCTCTGGTTTCTCTCCTCCCTGCTGGGCGCTGCTCTGTATCTCAACGCAGAGAAGAGAAACTGTCACAGGAGGCTGAGCGCTGCGGCAGGAGAGTGCTGTGAGCGGTCGGCATCTCTCCTGCCCGCACTGCTCAGCCTCCTGTGACAGTTTAGAAGAGCAGCAGTGTGGGAACAGCTCTCAAAGGTGTCCCAGGAGGCCGAGCTCTGCTCCCACACTGCACAGCCAAAAAAATAAAAATATTTAATAAAAATAAAATATAAAAATTTTTAAAAGTTTATAAAAAATTTGAAAAAGTTTGTTTCAGCCTGACCATATTTTTTTTTTCATTTCGGTTTTGAAATTTTCCTTTCGGTGCACCTCTACTTAAAAACACCATCCTGAAATAGCTGATGAAGGTATTTAACATTCCCCTTTTAAGGGCCATAGCCTTGGCATCTCTCATCCAGCAATCTGACAAGTAGGTAGACATCCCAGTTAGGCAACGTAAGTAAAGAAACAGATGGTAATGTTAGGCAGGAAAAAGGGACAGAAGGAAAATCTGGTTTTGCGCCAAATAGACTAGGAGAAATACAGTGAAATCCGTCAGATGACAGGACAAGCATAGCAACCACAGCCAATAAAGTCCTATCCTTGCATCAACAACAGAGGACAAAGTCCAGGCAAAGGCACTTACGAAATGGAAGTGGCAGACTCTGCTGGCTAAAAAGGGAAGCACATGTTAACAGAACCAATTGTATAAGTGAACAGGAAAACAATAGATTCAATGCTGTTGTAGGCCACTTCTATGATCTTGTCGTTTATGTTGAGATAAAGAGTCCAACCACTCGGAGGCCTCCACAGGTGTAGAAAAGAATGAAGTTTTCTCCTCCACTGACCGTCACAGATGAGCAGGATAAATCATCGCATATGGAATATCTCTTTCCCTGGGACATTTCTTGACATCCTGAAAGGCAGCATGTTTCTTCGCTACCTCAGATGAAAAATCTGGGAATATGGCTATTTGGTTGTCATTATAGCGTAGCTCTCCAGCAAAGTGCGCAGCTTTCAGGATAGCAACTTTATCTCTGAAATTCAAGAGCCTAGTATTCAGGTGCCTGGGGATTGCACCTGCTAGAGGGGGTTGAGGGGGAGAGTGGTGAGCCCATTCAATAGAGAAGAAGGAAGACCGTATAAGGTCAGGTATATTAGTCTGGATCCATGATTCCAAAAAGGACTCGGGAAAAGAACCCTCCGTTCTCTCTGGGAAGCAACAGAATGCAAATGATTGCACCCAGAGCAGTTTTCTATGTCATCCAACTTGTCAGTGACGATCAATTTAAATTACAGTGCATGGCCCTATGTTCAGCCTCCAGGAGGGAGAGGGTGTCCTGAGTGGTGCTGATGCAATCCTCAGCAGCTGCAGTGTGGTTGAAGAGGTTTTGTAAATCTTGCTTTTATAAGGAAAACTTTCAAGCTAGGTGATTAACGCTGCCTTAGCCCTCATTCACACGAGAAACGGCCGGCCTGTACAGATCTGTGCTCCGTGCACGGCCGTATAGGGCAGCTCTTGGGGAGGACAGGTGTTGCGCGTGATTTGTACGCAGCAGCCTGTTCTTCTCTATAGGAGTACGCGGCCGTACGCCGCCCTACACTCACGCGACCTGCATGTCTGTGGAGGTGTCCGTACTTGTTTGCTAACAGGCTAGGGTTGCCACCTGTCCAGGATTCACCCGGACAGTTCGGGTTTTGAATGCTGTGTCCGGGTTTCATGGCAGCAGAAACCCAGACACAAGATGTGAGGCAGACAGGGGACACCAAAATTAAGATAGGGGCTACTGGCCCCCCCACTGAAAATAGTCTCACCTGTAATATTTGCATATGAATGGGCGGCGCTATTTAGATATGAATAAGCCACAACTAATTTTCCCCAAAAATTGTCTGCGCGTCTCTAGAGTGTTCGGGTTTCGCTTGAAGAAAAGGTGGCAACCCTATAACAGGCATGTCCGGACGTGCAGGTCGGATGAGCGTAGGGCGGCGTACGGTCGCGTACGCCCATAGAGAAGGACAGGCTGCTGCGTACAAATTACACGCAACACCTGTCCTTCCCGGGAGATGCCCCATACGGCCGTGCACGCATCTGTACGGGTCGGCTGTTTCTCGTGTGAATGAGGGTTTACAGTGACAATAGCTTTCATTATTTGTGCAGGGGTGGGTTTGAGGGGGTTAATCAGCACTTACAGAGTCCTGTACCTCACCTGGATCATTAGGTTGGGATAAGGAGCCCCACCAGTGCAGGAGGAGAGGTAGGATCATCCGAAAGATGTGCAGCTGCATCTCCAATTCCAGTTTTCTTTGATCGGGGCCTGCTGTTTGGCGAAGGAGGGAAGTATGCCCCAGAGGACAAAGTCGGTGCCATCTTGGCTGTGCTGGAACTTAGAAAGGCATTCAGTGGTGCTAGCTGCCTTCCCTTGCCCAATCTTCACCATCATCAGTGGCCAGCAGGTACAGAAGGTAGTGTAGAGGGTTTGTGACTGAATATCCACGTTGCTGCTAGTAGTGAACTTAAAGGATATCTAAATCTAAATTATATCTGGCCAGGATTAGGTGTGGCCAGGTATTTATTTAAGTTGTATTAGCACTTCATTCCTATGCAGTTAGCATTTATTGTTTCACTTGATGGCCCCTCACTTTCTTCCATATCCAGTGGTAACTTTTTTTATTTTACTTAAAAATCAATGTTATGGTGAATTTAGGGTTCCAGTCTTAGCCTGCTAGTTTTTAATATTATCCTACTCTGTTTTACCTCCTATCCTGCACTAGGGGGACTCCTTATCGCAAGCAGGGCCAGATTCCCCACAAGGCCACCGGGGCACGGCCTCGGGGCGGCAGGGAGCAGAGGGGCGGCAGCGGTGTGGAGTACCCCGATGCCCGGTACATGCAGTTCCGGGCGATAAGTTGCTTTCTACACTTAGTCCTGCTTTGGGAGGGCAGGACTAAATGTAGTTTGAGGAAGCCGCTTGTTCGTTTACAAGTGATTGCGGCGATGTCGCCGCGATCACTTGTAATATGTCTGCAGCCTGTCCGTGTCCCCCCTGCACCTACCTCTCTCCTCTGGCTCCGTCCTCGGGACTCCGTCCTCCCCCCGGCCGCTGAGTCTCTCTCTTTACTGGCCGCTGATGCAGGGAGCAGAGCGGCAGGGTTAAAAGTAACTCTGCCGCTCCGTGTAAACAGTGAGAGGGGAGAGCAGTCTTCCCCTCTTCAGCTGTCACAGGAGTTCCAGCACAGTGCTGCGCTAGAACTCCTGTATTGGAGGTGGCAGGGCCAATAAAGAGAACCTCCCAAATGCTATCACACAGGGGCATTGCGAAACCTGGCCTTGGGGCAGCAGGGAGAGTAAATCCGGCCCT